TTCCAAAACGCCTCCTGCAAACTCCAACAACGCCTGCGCGCTTAATTAATGAAAATAAACAATGTTTAGCTATACCGGCTAATATGAAATATTTAAATGTAGCGACCAACGTTTTTTTTTACATTATTTAATTTTATTATTATTTCGTCATACGTCACGAGAACAGGCTACTTATGGAACACATCGCGCGAAAATGGCCAAGAATGCTCGCTGTTATAAATCACATAAATTAGATTGATCGGTGCTTTTTTGGTAATGACTAGGCTTGTTCATGTAAGAGAACATCGACTGAGCCTTAAAAATACCACAAAAAGCTTAAACGGATAGTCTAGAAGCATTTTAAAAAGTCACATGATATTTGTTTCATCCCTTCTATTTATTTCTTCCCTCGCCTTTTCGCTCGCTCGCGCGCCCGCAATCCTTGTTGTTATTTTCGTTGGAACGTCATGTAATATTTTTGTTTTGTCAATTTATTATTATTTTATTTTTATTTGAACAATCGTTCGAAGCAAAATGTTTCTGAGCGATTATCTGAGCGTATATAAGCGCCCTGTTAAAAGCTATTCACTGCAAATGCAAGCTCTTATGATTTATACAAGTAAGTGCAATAATTTAAATATATTATGTTATGATGTTTTATTCATATTACGTTTAATTAATGTTTTATTCATATTCGTAACACAGCTCTTAGTTGGCCCCCTGTGAAATTATTCAACATGTTGAATATTCGGTGCCGATGGCACGCGTGATTGAAATCGCTCAAAACGCCACCGCACATTGGGGGAACTTGATTACGCCAACAGTCACGAGTGACGCTCAGCTCAGCTGATATCTCCAGTGTGCGCCGGGCTTTACGAATACTTTCGTTTAAGCTTTGGTTTAAGAGAATAACAATTTTGATCATACTGCCCCTCTAAAATGGCGGCATTTAGACGAAATATCGAAGGACACAATATCGAAGATAAAATACACTGCACTGCTTCAAAACTTGCCGAAACTTGGTTGAAATCTTCTTTAGCCATTTGCCATTATGTAAAAGTACAACAACTGGATGTTATTTGCGAGACACGGCGATATAAAGCAAACAAGACGGCAAAATATGGCTGAAATCGTGTTTTCGTGGGGGGGTAAGTGAACTAAAATCTATTATATTTATAGAAAACAATGACTATCCTTATGAAAACTACAATAATTATATTAAATTAAGCAGAGTTTTTCATCCCATGATAATTTTTTTTAGGAAATAAGGATATTTAATTTCTGCCATGTATATTAGTTATTTTATGCATAACTGAATGGTCTTTTTCTTGTAAAATATTATACATACACAAACTTTTCCTTCCAATAACCACCCCTAAAAGCAACCCTTCTAAACACTATAAGCACTTCAGAAAGACTGTCGCTTTTGCTTTTCGGAAATTATCAGCTATGTACATGTCGGCAGTGCCGTTTCAGGGCGGGGTCATTTTCACGACTTTTGTCCCGGATTCAGGTTTTGGCGCATATGCCATGTTGACCGCCATGGTCATTTTACCCTAAATTAAACAGTTGATATTACCTGTGGTAAATGAAACGTATACAATCTCCTATACAGGTCCTAGATTAATTACAAAGTTACTCTAGAAAGCTAAACTGAAAGGGAAACAGCTACAAGCATTAAAGAGTCCTGGTCAACCACAATGCAATGCGTGCGTCTGCTTACGTATCTGTTACGTTGTGGGCCTGAGGCAGCCATTTTGGTGGCCTTGAAATGGCAGGAACAATTGAGAAAAGTAACGGGAAAACGTAAACAAAAGAGCGCATTGTGGTTGACTAGGCTCTTTAAAACTAATAATACTGTATTATATATACTGAATTATTTACACTAAATTCTAAAAAGTCATGATTATCTCAAACAATACGTAGGGCTGTGCATTCCCTAAATTCTTCCTCATCGTATTGTTCTATTTCACAGCAGATTTGACAACAAAATTGTTTTGAGATCTACGGCTAGTTTTATATGTTGGCAACTGAAATTGCATTCCAGAGGCCTGGAACCTAGTGTCATAATGGTTTGATAAGTAGGTGCTAAAATGTCATGCATGCAGTTTATGATTTTGCTTGATGATGCTGGAGAAAAATATGTCATGCACATAGGTGTTTCAATCTCACCTGAGATATACCGACAAGATCTAAGGCATCTCGGTAACTATAGTATCGGGGGAAATTATTTGCATAATCCTGCGTTGGATGGATTCAATTTGTTCTCTAAGGTATTCAGTAGTATTCTCTAAAACCATGCAGGGCCAACGTACTCCAATACTGTTTTCACACAAATTGAATAGAAAAGACCAAGTCCGTACCTGCAACGCCCGCCCTTTACAGAAGTCTCATAGAGTATACTGTACTTGGACTTGAAGAGGAGAACTTGAACGTTTCGAGCGAAGGCCGTCCGTCGGGAAGTTAGCTGGCTGCTAACTTCCCAACCGAAGGCCTTCGCTTGAAACGTCTTTACTTGCATTTTACAGGTAGTTGTATCTCTCTCATCCGTAGGAGTTCTGTTATCGTCGCTACCAACATGCATAGACTGGCACGGACCGTAAAATTCGCACGTGATGTTGCTCGCACCGACAATACCAAATCGGACTCTCACCACGGCGGCGCGTGTAATTTTGGCGAAGTTTTAATTAAACATGACTCTTACTGTGTTAATCCATCACATGATTACCTCTACCAATTGAATAAACTGAAAGGCTTTTTAATACCCTCCTCAAAATAAAACGTTTTCAATAATACCAATTGCAGAAGATAAAAATGTTTTGCAAAATTACGACAGTATCTACAAATCCATTGGGTATACGTAGAGCTGAGAATTTGTGATCCACACTGAAAACCTACTGTAAACAGATAATTTCCCATTCTCACCATTTCATAACAGACTACCGAGAAAGTTGTATTTTCAAATTACCATTACAAAGAACCATGTTTAAATTAAGCGTGCGCGATACGTACATTTTCTCACGAGTAAAACAATCAAATTGCTACCTGCTGCGTTCTATTTTTTTTGTGTCTATCGACAATAGAATTCTACACATAATTCAATTCAATCTGTTCTCTTTATATCATTAGGAAGGTTCAGATCGATTTTGACTTCCACTATACCGTTGCCGCTACCATTAACCAATCAGATGCATTTAAGCTACCCGATTAACCAATCAAATGTGAGAGGTAAGGGCATTTGTAATGGAAGACAATTCTGAACCTCTAGGTTTCTGCAATTAACCATACCTTATCATTCCATATACAAGCAATGCTGTGGATAAGTTAATTAAATAATAACCTTTTTAATAAATGAATTTCACGAGCAACGAGTATTACAATCATTCTGGGGGGTTTGAAAATGCGGGGGACAAAAATTGGTTACCTAATTACATCAGATGTGTTGTAAAATAAATTAGGCCGTCGGAAGTAAATCAATATGGGAGGGGGACAGGGTTCAAGAATAAATCTGAATTGCTTTCGCACTTTTTTAGTTCTTCTGTGTGTTTTGCTCATACGAATGGAAATTATTGGGGGGGGGGGGGCTCAAGCCGCTCAATACGACTTATATCAAAATCTATTTATCGATTATAAAATATTTATCGACTATTATATTGTCGTTTCGCAAGTTATAATCATGTTCTCCATCACATAGAGTAGGTAATAATGTATTTAATAGGTGATTTGGTGTTTTTAATTATTTTGTCAAAATATTGTTTACATAATTTTTCTCGTCTTATCTATAAATTCATCATGGTTTTCTTCTCCAGGCTTAATAAGTTTAAGGGATTTTTTCGGACCGATTCAATTATATTCCATGTGAAAAATATTCAGGCATAGACTGCCGGCATGGTAACGCATTTTCAAGTATTTGTCTTATGTTTGCAAAATATACTTTAACATAATTATTGTCTGTTTCCACACCAGCTAAATGTAGTATACCCAATGAATACAATCTTTTACACTGTCTGCATGCTTCTCCGCTTATAAGCAACATGTTCATTCCATTTTAGATCGTCTGTTAAAACAACTCGAATTAAGAAGCTACTTAAACTCGCAGGAAAGTTCAGAGTTCGATACAATGCAAAATCCATAGAAAACCGATACAATTCGTTGAATATTTTAACGAAATTATTTGAAACATTAATTGTATTTTTTGCCCACTCGATGAAAAGCAGCTATTTTGAAACTGAACTGTATACAGGTCGCTGAAGTACTGTTATTATTCGATCCCTTTGAGGAATGTTAAGTTTCTGACATCCAAAACGAAAGCGACGACGACAGCCCCCCCATGCCATTTTATTTACACTGGCTCTTTCAGCTGGTGTAATAACTTTCACAATATCAATATTAATATTCGTTCGAACGTGCGTAAAAGCTAGGATGTTTCATGTATGAATATCTTTCTATCTAACTGATTTAGCTTTCAAGCAGATTGTTTTAATTTGATTAAATCCGGCGAACGCCTGACCAAATTAATACAATCCATTCTCAACAATCTAAATTCCGTTGTGCTTTCAAAATAACTCTAGCACAATTATTACATACCAGCACAATTATTATACCATATACGGGCGCATAATAGAACATGCATGCTGCGTTCTAAATTTTAATTATTTTGTGTCCATAGCATTCTTTGTTGCGTTCCATTTACTGTAGATAATATCATTACTTATTAATATTTTAATAAGCACTATACTAACAATAGTAGAAAGATCTGCTCTTTCAAATTGATTTATGAATTGAGAAAGTGCAACGAATTTCAGTCGAGGCGTTACAGGCGTATATAGACGAGGAACTTGGTAGGGCGAAATACATGTGAATCTTTTCTACAAAAATATAGACAAAATGAAACCACATTCCAATTTGTTTAACGAATTTCTTATCAGCGCTATTAAATAATTATTGCAACACTCAATAACCAAGTGAACCTGAAAATGACTTAAATACATTTTTACTTACTAATTTGAATCTAAGTCTAAGGAAAATATTGAACGAAAAATTATTCACTGTTATTGCATATATTGCATGGCTGGATTCGTGATGACTTTAAAACGAATGCTCCAACTCATGTTTTATCGTTTGTAGCCGTTTTCACTGAATTGTATTTCTGAAGAAATATGCAAGGAATGATTATTTTATTTAAACAGCACGCTAAATACTGTTTTTGTCCCTTTCTCTTAAATAACCAACAAACAAGTCAGCATAACATATTTTTTGTGTGTTGGCATTAAAAGTGAATATGATGTTTGTGATGTTAATACTCTGAGTGTACATCCACACCGGCAAGCTGAAATGTTTTCCTGACCACGTCGGAAATCGAACCCACGACCGTTGTGGTACTAACTATAGTCCAATGCCGAGCTACGAGGTCAAGTCGGAGTTGGTGATAAGATACTTTCCTATATACTGCATGCTGCATGTATAGCAACTTCAATACTATGGTAAAAGCATGCACCTAAAAATAAATTTTTGTTGGCGATAGTGGTGATCTTGGCTTGGCTTTGATAACAATGATAATGTCAAATTCAAACAATTGAAACTATTCCATATCAATTAACAAAAACAAAATTAATATCGATTCCCTACCTTCTGATTTCCACTCGCGATGAGTAACGCTGATACACGAGGAGGCAAAGAAAAAGCTAAGAAATGCATACCACTTGAATGAATGCATAATCATTGTAGATGCAGCCATGGCTGCCATTTGATACTGTACCAATTTAACTCTGGCAATATATAGGGAAAACCAGATGTCGTTGTATATAATATGAGAATAACGTTATAGCCAAAAGATTAATGGACTCTCGTCAGAATCCGCTTTGATGCGAGTCACGATAATTGCCTTGTTTGTGTTACGATGAAATTTGGAGATTACACAACAATCCTTTAGTGCATTGTAAAATTAAAAAGCTGAGTACTTAATATATGAACACTTAAAATACTCATTAATAATTAATAAACCTTGTATAGCAAATCATGTCAGCCATAATATGTCACGTGGAGTGACTTTATATCTGATAAAACATGTGACATTATATAATTGTTCATCCTAATTAGTGTGATTATATAATTGTTTATCCTAATTAGTATTCTTTTGTAGTCGTATTTTAAAGGACATTGGCAACGAAAATTTTTATTGCATATTTTGAAAGTGTTACATCATCTAATAATGGATGTAATGTTAATTCGTTGCCAAAATCTTTAGTTCATGGGTAATGAGCATCTCACTTCATCCAAAATCAAGAGCTTGTCGGCCATTTTGAATCGTTTTTCAAAAAAATTATCTCTGGCGGATGTGACGTCATTAGATGGGTTGCAGCAAGACAACACTATATATTTCACCCGTTTAGCATACACCTCAACGGGTATTACCCATATGTTCTCAGTTGAGAATACTCGGTATTACCCGTCCCAGACTATCGCCTGCGTTACCTGACGCTGACGCTTTCGCATATCACTATAATATTATATAAACCAATCACAATCGTGTGTCTATCCCACGTTCTTCTCGAGCTTTGAGCTGCCATATTTGTAGCCTGCATGGCAGGCGGTACGTAGGAAATACCGCCTGCCGCAAAACTGGGTGTAAATGAACTACCGCCCCTGAAGCATCAAAGCTATTTATAGATGTCATTAAGTAAATATTCAAAATTAGCCACTCCCAACACGTTGCTCCCAAGTCCCAACTGCCCAACATAAAATAAATTCCTTAATTCTCATCACCGCCCGACTGAACTTTAAAATCCTCGTGAAAATGTTTTATATTTTGTTATACAATATAAATGTACTGCCCGACAAAATAATTCAAGACAGTTAATTTTTTTATATTTTATATACTTAGGGTTTTTATTAATTGCCATTTTAAATTTCCAATTTGAAACAAACAGAATTTTGAATGAAATTTCATTGTATTTTAAAGAAATTCAGTCATTCTGTCATTGTTCGTGGAGATACGAACTAGTATTGATATATAAATTATATAAATATAAAATATAAAAAATAAATCTCCCACTGTCTTTGACATTTCAAAGTGTAGACTGTGTCTAGTGATGAGAATCAAGGAATTTATTTTATGTGTTAATATAAACCAAGCCCGTTTAGCTGCCTTAAAACGGTGGTTTAATAAGCTCAAAATACAAAGCATGCAAGTCTATACTATAGATTCATCATCAGTCAACAACCAAACTGAAAGTTTTGAACCTTATAGAACGATAGTTCTTATTTGTTTACAACTATACATATTCAACGGGTATATAAGAGTTAAACTGTTATTTGATAATTACTGCATCAACCGGCCCCTAGTTCATACTTTGGAGGTTCGTATATCTATCAAGTATCTTTGGTTCAGAACATGACGGGCCTATATGAAAATCCCACCGTTCGATTTAGTGAAGAAATATCTCCTAATTTCTATCGATAGTTTTAGTAAAATGTCAACCGCATTATTGTGATTTGTGGCCTTTGAAAGTCAAGCGAGATCGTATATTATCAAATTATCAAATACGCATGTAATTGTCTGAACGAAAATATAGACTAGCCCATACCTTTCGCCGATCATAACTTCGGCCCCTTCGGACGTATCTTCTTTGTTAAATATTCTTGTACGAATCGCTATCAAAATCACTACTTAGAGTGTTATTTTTCAGCTTGTATCTTTAAATTTGCTTCTTTTATTATGGATTCCATTTCTGGTCTGACTTGACGTGAACTAATTTCAAAACGTCAAAACATTTGGTTAATGATTAACATTTACCCGTTGATTGACAACTACATAAAAATACTAACCAATCCGTTTTTTCCGTTCACCAGCGGACGGGTAATTCAAAAACCCCTAGTTTTGCCACAGGGGGTCCAACTAACAGCTGTGTTATGAATAAAACATATTAATTAAACGTAATATGAATAAAACATCATAACGTAATATTGCACTTACTTGTATAAATCATAAGAGCTTGCATTTTAATACAGTGAATAGCTTCAAAAACTTGCTTCGTTCCAAAGACTTCAAATATGGCGAATAAATTGACAAAACGATAATATTACATGACGTTCCAACGAAAATAACAGAAAGGATTGCGGGCGCGAGCGGAAGGCGAGGGTCGCGCCCGCAATCCTTTCTGTTATTTTCGTTGGAACGTCATGTAATATTATCGTTTTGTCAATTTATTCGCCATATTTGAAGTCTTTGGAACGAAGCAAGTTTTTGAAGCTATTCACTGTATTAAAATGCAAGCTCTTATGATTTATACAAGTAAGTGCAATATTACGTTATGATGTTTTATTCATATTACGTTTAATTAATATGTTTTATTCATAACACAGCTGTTAGTTGGACCCCCTGTGGCTTGCTGAGAACGCGGGACAATACGCGTGTTATGCGTGAATCTCGCGCTGTCGCGTGTAAGACTATTTAACAATTATTCGCCGAAGGCGAGGTGATTATCGGTGAATAAAAACCGAGACGAAGTCGAGGTTTTTATTCACGATAATCACCGAGCCTGAGGTGAATAATTGTTTTAGTATAATTTCATGGATGATTATTTGGAAAAAAATAAAAAAATGCACATTTCTTCGTCTTTTAATTGACAAAACGGCTTCGGCCGCCATTTTGAAAATCGCTTAGGTGATTATCGCGTAATAATCACCTCAACGGTAACCAATCAGCATGGAGAATTTTCAATAAT